GCACCACTCAGCCAGACGATCCACCTCCTCCCTGTAGGCGGCCTCATCTCTGTCTCTTTCTCTGTCAAACCATTAGCACATACAAGATGACAAATGTCTGTCAGTCATTAAAAGCTCCCACAAAGCTCCAAATGTAGCAGCAAAGTGTGAGAAAAGCTGTGTTTATTTTTGTAAAGAACACTGCTACTGTAGGTTAATTTTAAAATAAAAGCTCATAGTCTAAGCGGATTTCTGTTCTTGGTGAGTGTCACCTCCAGCCTTGGCTGAGCCTTTATGCTTTTCTTTAAAGAATTTGCCAAATAGAGATAAAACACAGCAGCAGCAGGTTTCTCAGATTTTCTTTCTGTGAAGACAGCCACATACCCACAGACTGCTGCTGAGTGGGTGGAGTCAACTCACATGAATTGTTTCAGTTTCTCCTCTGAAAATGACTGCTTGATACAAACTCAGAAGCTCAGCTGTCTGAAACAACTGAAGATGAAGCAATTTGTTGAATTTACTGAGATTAAACTGAGTTTGCACCTGTCTGTGTTGAACTGTAAAAATCATCAGTTAACACGACTTTTCAGCTGTTTGGGGGCAGAGACAGTTTCCTCAGAAAAAATCCTGAATGTTTGGAGGTGTTTGGTTAAATTCATCATCAAGTCATCAGGTGTGTTCTGCATTATGTCAGTCAAAGCTAGAGAGCTTTTCTACTTTCAAAGGAAAAAATAGTAGCGGCTCAAGGAGAGGGAGCACTAGCCCAAAGACACACCATTCATGCTGGAAAAAACAAAAACAAAACCAGTTATCCTGATGATAACCCTTGATCAGTTGTGGCAGTGTCATAGTCAGGCATTAGTACAATGTCAGAAATGTTACTCTTGTCAGTGAACCACAGGGGAGTGACTACTGTTTACTACACTGTTAAAACCCTCATGCCCTCCTTATGTTGGCTGTGTTATAGCTTGTGAGATGAATTTTTGCAGGAAATCTTTTTAGTTAAAATTTTGAACTCTTTTACTCTTACATATCATCCATATTCTGCTTAATGAATTTTGCACCATTTCAACATCTTTGTGTACAAAATCTGCCATAAAATCCTCAACCAAACAATATTTTTTCTGCTTTTTTTCATAAATCGCTTAATCAAATTGAACACTTTTGAACATTTTCAGGATTTTAAGCCTTTAAATGCCAGTTTAAACATTTGAATTAGTTTTTGCTGAATTTTTTAATACAAAAATAATCTTTTTCCATCTAATAAATAGAACGAGGGTGGGACAAGGGGGGTGATTAGATTCTTGGACATATCAAATAACAGAAACAAATTTGGTTTGACTGCATTATTATTTTATAATCATATAGTTCCTACAAAATTCACTTCCATTGAAACCACATTTTTTAAAATCTCTCTGCCGTTGTCATATTAAGCCATGCATCCCGCAATGTCAGCATTTCACTTTATAGAAAAGTTGTGTTTTTTGGCATTTTTACAGTTTTGAATTAGTTTCAACCATTTTGCCATTGTAGGCTAATGCATGAAATTCTTGTCTTTTTGCCACTTATATTATGGAGCTGTCCAATAACCAGTGTTGGGCAAGTTACTTTGAAAAAGTAATTAATTATAGTTACTTCTTCAAAAAAGTAACTGAGTTACAATATTCTAAAAGTAATTAATTACTTGATAAGTAACTATTGCATTACTTTAAAAAAAGAAAAAAACCTTTAACCCTCTGGGGTCCAGGGTATAATTGGCCATTTTTAACTACTTCCGATGTTTCTTCTACATTTCACCTTTAAAAACTATTTGCTTTGCCTTGTTTGGTGTCATCCTTTTCAGCACAACCTCACGTGTCTGAATTTACAGTCATGTTTTCATTTTGACATACTGTAATAACACAGTTGATCTAAAATCAGACAAAAAACATAAAATCTGAGTAGAAAAAGTTACATTTATCACTGTAACAACCACAAACATGTTTATTGAATCATATTTTATAACTTTAAATGCAAAAATAAATTGTCAATTTTAAAATCATATGCACAAGTTTTGAAAACAACAAAGTTATTTGCTGCCATTTACCTTTTACCTTGATTTTTAAAATAACCATTTCAAACTATTTACAGAACAATCAGCTGTTCTGCATTCAAAAAGATGCCACACAAATTATTTGTGCCACTCCAAATATTTCTGTCCACTATAAAGGAGAACATCACAGCCTGATCCCTGCAGGTCTGACAGCTGCAGGTGTATCACTCCTGTTTCTACCTGGAGACAGCAGTCGCCTCATTGTTCTGACACACAACACAAAACTATCCACAACACTACACA